AAATAGATCCTTCACTAAAGAAGGTACACAAATGACCTGAAAGCCCATTAAAAGATGTTCAACATATAAGCTGTTAGGGAACTACAAATCAAAACCTCAGTGAGATACCACTTCATTAGGATACTATAATCAAAAAGAGATGATAACAAGTATTGGTGAGGACATAGAGAAATTGGAACCCTTATACATTACTGATGAGAAGGTAAACTGGTACAGCCACTTTGGAAAACGGTTTTGCAGTTTCTCAAAAGATTAAACATAGATTTAAGACCTAGTACCTCCACTTCTTCAGTATATACCCAAAGGAAAGAAAACACATCCACACAGAAATTTACATCTGTATGTTTATAGCAGTATTATTTATAGTAGCCAAAAAAGTGGAAATGACACAAATGTCTATCAACTGATGAATGGATAAATAAAATGCAGTATGGCCATACAGTGGAGTATTATTTTGCCATCAGAAAGGAATGAAGTACTGATTTGTGTCAAAAAATGGATGAACCTTGAAAACATCACATTCAGTGACAGAGCCAGTCACTAAAGACTGCAGGTATTATATGATTTCATTTATATAAATGTTTATATAGATACATCTATAGAGACAGAAAGTAGATTCACAGTTGCCTAGGGCTGGGGCTGGTTGGGGAATGGGAAATGGCTGCCATAGGCACAGGACTTCTTTTTTGGGATGTTAAAAACTTAAATTATTAGATGTTATATTTTATAGTGATGATTGTGCAACTCCAAGTATACTAAAAATCACTGGGTTGGTTGGCTGAGTTTTAGGGTATGTGAGTTGCATCTCAACAACTATGTTTAAAAAGTTCAGTAACACTGTGCACCCACTAGTGTGGCTAAAATCAACAAAACTGACATCACAACGCGGGCAGGGGTGTGGGAACACTTGAAAGCATCATACATGGCTAGTGGAAATGCAAAATAAAATCATCCCTTTAGAAAAATTGTTTGGCTGTTGCTTGAAAAGTTAAATGTATTCTTAACATATTATGACAAAACAGTTGCACTCCTGGGTATTTACCCAAGAGAAATAAAAAATATGTTCACACAGACTTGTCTAAGAACATTTATAACACCATTATTTATAATAACCACAAACTGGAAAACAATTCAAACGAATGGGTAAACAAAATGTGGTATATCCATAACACAGAATCCACGTTATAAAAATAAATGAGCTACTGACACACTCAACAACATGAATAAACCTTGAGACAATGCTATGTACTATACGATTCTATTTGCATGGATTTTTTAAAAGGCAAAAGTATAATGACAAGAAACGTCAGTTGCTGCTTGGGTCTGGGAACAGTTTGCATATGAGCACGTGGGAACTTCGTCAAGTGACGCAAGTGTTCTAAAACTAGATTGTAGTGTTAGTTGCACAATTGTATAGATTTACTAAATTCATGAAACTATAAATGGATGAATGCCATGTATTATAAATCATATCTCAAAATATAGCCCAAACCAGGGAGGGCTAGGATATAGGTCTGTTTCATTTGCCTAGTATAAATGTTTGACCATTGTATATAAATACTCAAATTGTGGGAGAAAATATTTGCGAACTTTGTGTCTGACAAAAATCTAATATCCATCATCTATATGGGACTTAGACAGATGTACAAGAGAAAAACAATGCCATTAAAAAATGGGCAAAGGACATAAACAGACACTCCTAAAAAGAAGACATACATGTGACCAACAAATATGAAAAAGAGCTCAATATCACTGGTCATTAGAGAAGTACAAATCAAAACCACGGTGAGATACCATCTCACATAGTCAAAATGGCTATTACTAAGAAGACAAAAAAAATCACAGATGCCAGGAGGTTGTGGAGAAAAGGGAACACTTATACACTGTTGGTGGGAGTGTAAATTAGTTCAGCCATTGTGGGAAGCAGCAGGATGATTTGCTCAAAGAGCAAAAAGCAAAACTGCCATTTGACCCAGCAATCCTATTATTGGTTGTATACCCAGAGGAATATAAATCATTCTATCATAAAGACACATGCGTACGTAAGTTCTTTGCAGCACTATTCACAATAGCAGAGACATAGAATCAGCATAAATGCTCATCAGTGACAGATTGGATAAAGAAAAGATGGTACATGTACACCACGGAATACTATGCAGCCATGATAAAGAATGGTATCATATGTTTCTGGGAACATGGATGGAGCTGGAGGCCATTATCCTTAGCAAATTAACATAGGAACAGAAAACCAAATACTGCATGTTCTCACTTAGAAGTGGGAGCTGAATGATACGAACTTAAGAACACAAAGAATAACAAAAGACACTGGGCTCTGCTTGAGTGGGGAAGGTAGGAGGGAGAGGAGCAGAAAACCTAACTGTTGAGTACTGGGCTTAGTACCTGGGAGATGAAATAATCTGTACAACAAACCTCTGTGACATTTATTTACCTATGTAATCTTCATATGTACCCCAAAACCTAAAATAAAAGTTACAAAATAAAATTGAACCTTGGGGCCGGGTGCGGTGGCTCACGCCTATAATCCCAGCACTTTGGGAGGCCGAGGCAGGTGGATCACGAGGTCAAGAGATCGAGACCATCCTGGTCAACAAGGTGAAACCCCGTCTCTACTAAAAATACAAAAATTAGCTGGGCATGGTGGTGCGCGCCTATAGTTCCAGCTACTCGGGAGGCTGAAGCAGGAGAATTGCCTGAACCCAGGAGGCGGAGGTTGCGGTGAGCCGAGATCACGCCATTGCACTCCAGTCTGGGTAACAATAGCGAAACTCCGTCTCAAAAAAAAAAAAAAAAAAATTGAACCTTGGTTTAAAATAAACTCCCAACTGGCTGTAAGATGTGACTATCAAGCATTTTTATCATATCTGGCATTTTACTGTTTCCTGTCACTAGGATGTGGGTTTTTCTATATGTGTGAGTTTCCCAGACATCTGAGACTTACCCCTTTAATCTTGAAATGTTCTTTGAATGTAACTATTTTGAAATAGGGTTGGCTAAGCTTTTGTTTTTTTACATTGTTTTGGTCATAATTATAATAGTCATTATTTTAGAAAAACAAATCCCCCCGAGCTACTGATGTTGGAGAGTGGCTTCATCACTCATATCATCCAAGCCCACTCTGCCTTTTGCTTTCTTCTGTTTCTTCCCTTTTTGCTGTCGGTGTGTTCACTCTTAGAAGTCTTGCTCTCTTCCAGTTACTGAATTTCCTCTTCTGTGGGCTAAAATACCTGTAAGTATGTTCGTTAAAATTCTGAGTAAATTGGAAGTAACTAGGCTGAAGTCAGAGGGATGCCTTTTTCACTAAAAGTACACATACAGTAGTCCCCCTTTATCCATGGTTTTGCTTTGAGTGGTTTCAGTTACCTGCAGTCTACTATAGTTTGAAAATATTAAATAGAAAATTTCGGAAATCAACAATTAAGTTCTAAATTGCATGTCATTCTGAGTAGCATGATGAGGTCCCTCCCAGGATGTGAATCATCCCTCTGTCCAGAGTCTCTATGCTGTCTGTGCTCCCCACCTGTTAGTCACTCAGGAGCCATTCAGGTCATCAAATCGACTCAGTACTGCCATGCTTGTGTTCAAGTCACCCTCATTTTATTTAAATCATGGCCCCAACGTGTGAGAGTAATGATGGTGGCAATTCACTTATGCCAAAGAGAAGCCATAAAATGCTTCTTTAAGTGAAAAGGTGAAAATTCTCAAGGAAAGAAAAAAATACATATGCTGAGTTTTCTTGGTTCTTAGTAAGAACCAAGTTTCTATCTGTGAAATTGTGAAGAAGGAAAAGCAAGTTCATGCTATTTTCCTGTTGCGCCTCAAGCTGCAAAAGTTACAGTGCATGGTATAAGTGCTTAGTTAAGATGGGAAAGGCATTACATTTGTGGTTGGAACACATGAACAGAAGTGTGGTCCAATTGATATCAGTCCAGTTACGTAGTATTCATAGTTTCAGGCACCCGCTAGGGGTCTTGGAATATATACCCCTTGGATAAGGGGGCACTCCTGTAGACTTGAATATATGACTTTCATTTGTTTCTTAGTTTTTTTCTGGAAAGATAAAATCGGTAGATAGTGATCTCAAGATAAATGAGATATTGAGTTAGTGTTCTCTTTTCAGCTTTTGGATGCCACGATTTTAATTCTAGGCCAGTTTTACACAGAGACAAAATAGACAAATTCCCCTTACCACGCTGAAGTCCTTTGCTTCTTGACATTCTACCCTAATTGCAATATTGTTTTATATTTAAATAATACAGAAACTTCTGTCCCATATGATCCAGAAATTCCACTTTTGGTATACAGCTGAAAGAATTTAAAGCAGAGACTCAAATAGATACTTGTATATCAGTGTTCATAGCAGCAATATTCACAGAGTATAGAAATAGCACGTATATCCATGAAGAGATGAATGGATGAACAAACTGGATATTATTCAACCTTAAAAACAAATGCAATTCTGATACGTACTACATGAATGAACCTTAAAAACATTATGCTAGGTGAAATAAGCCAAACTCAGACAAATTATTATACACTTCCACGTATATGAAGTACTTTGGCTAGGCAGATTCATAAACACAGAAAGTAAAATGCTGGTTACCCGGGACTCAGGAAAAGGAGGGAACAGAGAATTACGTTTGGAGGATAAAACATCTTGAAGGTGGATAGTGGTGACAGTTGCTCATCATCGTGAGTGTCCTTAATGCCACTGAGTTACATACTTAAAAGTGACTAAAATGGCAAATGTTTTGTTGTGTATATATTATCTCAATGAAAAGAACTCCAGATTCGCCTGGTTTTGGTAAGTCTTCAGAGCTTTCCTCTGAATGTTTCAGCTGTTTCTTTGGAAACAGATTTTGATAGAGGCCATACTATTAGCAGTGTAGGGAGAAGCCTATGAGGAAGACAGCTTCACCTGCATTGAGGTGTTGCCAGCTGAGCACTAATGAGTAAGTTTTCATTTTATTTCTCATTTCTAGGCTATCCATCCAGGATATGGCTTTCTTTCAGAAAATATGGAATTTGCTGAACTTTGTAAGGAAGAAGGAATTATTTTTATAGGTCCTCCTCCATCGGCAATTAGAGACATGGGTATAAAGAGGTATGAGTTTATATCTTTTAAAATATAACTGTATCAAGGTCATTTGAAATAGTTTGGGCCAGGCATGGTGGCTATGCCTGTAATACCAGTGTTTTGGGAGACTGAGGCAGGAGGATAGCTTGAGACCAGGAATTCAAGACCAGCCTGGGCAACTTATTGAGACTATCTCTAAAAAATATATATTTTTAAAGTTCATCTAGGCCTTGGCACAGTGGCTCACACCTGTAATCCCAGCACTTTGGGAGGCCAAAGCAGGAGGATTACTTGAGTCCAGAAGTTCAAAACCAGCCTGGGCAACATAGGGAAACCCTGTCCCTACAAAATGTTTTTAAAATTCCAGTCATGGTGTCATGTGCCTGTGGTCACAGCATCTTGGGAGGCTGAGGTGGGAGGATTGCTTGAGTCCAGGAAATCAAGGCTGCAATCAGCTATGATCACACCATCATACTTCAGTCTGGGCAACAGAGTAAGACCCCATCTCAAAAAAAAAATTCAGCTGGATATGGTGACACACACCTGTAGTCCCAGCTGCTTAGGAGGCAGAGGCAGAGGCAGAATGATCACCTGAGCTCAGGAGTTGAAGGCTGCAGCGAGGTATAATTGCACCCCTGCACTCTGGCATGGGCAACACTGTGAGACCCTGTCTCTAAAAAAAAAAAAAAAAAAAGTTTGTTTTACCTATAATAGGCATTTTAATTCTACCCTTCTGTTATCATAGGCATAAGTTATTTATCTGCGACATAAGGAAATTCCATTGAGTTACAGAAAATATTTAATGTTTCTAATCAGTATGTTAGTGTTTTGGGATTAAAAGTAAGGTGAGATGAGCTACCACATGAAATAAGGAACACTAATAGACCATAAATTTATATTATTTTGTTGTCTCAGACTTGATGTTTCCTTTTTTTTTTTTCCCGAGATGGAGTTTCACTCTTGTTACCCAGGCTGGAGTGCAATGGCGCGATCTCGGCTCACTGCAATCTCCACCTCCTGGGTTCAGGCAATTCTCCTGCCTCAGCCTCCTGAGCAGCTGGGATTATGGGCACGCGCCACCATGCCCAGCTAATTTTTTGTATTTTTAGTAGAGACGGGGTTTCACCATGTTGACTGGGATGGTCTCGATCTCTTGACCTCGTGATCCACCTGCCTCGGCCTCCCAAAGTGCTGGGATTACAAGCTTGAGAGTTCCATTGTAATTTATAGACTGGGCTATATGTATGTTTCTCTTGAATGAAATAATTTATAGAATTGGCACATGTTGTTTTCTTTCCCACTCTAAAGCACATCCAAATCCATAATGGCTGCTGCTGGAGTACCTATTGTGGAGGGTTATCATGGTGAGGACCAATCAGACCAGTGCCTGAAGGAACATGCTGGGAGAATTGGCTATCCTGTCATGATTAAAGCTGTCCGGGGTGGAGGAGGAAAAGTAAGGTTGTGCATGCTTCTGTTTGCCATTTCAGGCTCGTCTTTGTTTTATTTATGTGGTAGTCATAATCTTTTCTCTCTTAGGGAATGAGGATCGTTAGATCAGAGCAAGAATTTCAAGAACAGTTAGAATCGGCACGAAGAGAAGCCAAGAAGTCTTTCAGTGACGATGCTGTGCTGATCGAGAAGTTTGTAGACACACCGAGGTGGGTTGACCTTTTTTTTCTGATTCAGATTTTAAATAAATTGGAAAAATAATGCATGCACATTCTATAAAATATAAAACTGTAAGAGTACATGAATATATTATTGTAAGTTTAGTTTCCCAGTTCTGTCTTGTGATGTAACCACTGATTGTAGGATGGCATGAATTCTTCCAGGCATTTTCTATGTAAATAGAAACCTATATACATGTACATACAGCAAACAAAATACATACCTAAGAACAGTGAATAGAATCCTACACACTAATATTATGTCACAGACCTCTTTCCATGTCAGTCAACACTGATCAGCCTCAAGCTTTTTGTTGGTGCCCTAGTGGTTCCATGATCTTAATATACCATTAATTCATTCAGTATGTTTCTTGTTGATGAAATTTAGGGTTTTTTTCAATATTAGCAAATTATTGTAATAAATTCAGTTATATTTATAGAACTGAATGTTAGTTGATATGCTTAGGAAATGGAATTAATTTCCTAAATTGAATTATAAGTGATTTACTAATAATAGCAGCTAATACTTATATTACACTTATCATATGCCAGATTTTAAGAATTTTACACATGCTAAATAATCTTGCTGTTCTTCTAATTTGAATGTAATTCTTACACCAGCCTCATTAGGTAAGTACTATTTTCATTTTACAGGTGAAGACACTAAGCAACAGAGTGGTTGTGTTGTGTTAGTTGTCTGAGGTCTCTCAGCTGTTAAGTAGTAAAGCTGAGATTTGAACCCAGGCATTTCGACTCCAGAGTTCATATCTAAGCCACTGCACTAAGCTTCTCTGGGTACCACTATAGGAAATGCAATGTGAATCCCTATTTTTTTTTCTGGAATGTTATTTTCATGTTTGTTGTTTAAAGTAAGATGCTGATTATAAAGTTTCTCATTTCGTAGATTTTTATGACAATTGTTAAAAAAATTTATTTATAAATTATATATATATACACATACACACACATATATATATATAATACAGGATATAGATATCCTGTAATACTGTATAATACTTACAGGATACTTATAATACTTACATATAATACCTATAGGATATTGTAATCCTGTATAATACGTACAGGAGAGATATATGTAAGAATATATATATATATATATATTCCTAAATTTCATCAGCAAGAAACATTGAATGAATTAATGAAAAAAAATATATATATATCTTACATATCTCTCTCCTGTAAGTATTATAGGATTTGTGGAAAGAATAATTCATTTGGGAACCATGACTGGAAAAGAGATTTACGTTGAAGGTAACAGACTTGAAGCTTCAGGCACTTCTTTGGCATTAACCTCTTCTAAGACCCTGACCTAATTTTGTATTTGCAGTTTTGTATTCTTCTCCTTAAAGAAGGCTCCCAAATTGTTTTTTGTTACAGCCCTTATAAAACTGAGAACTGTCCTGAGCATGGCATAGTCAATGAAATTCAATTAGAATTTGATAGTTAAAAAAAAGAAAGTCAATCTTAAAATTGGTAAATTGATTAGGAGAACACAGCCTATGCCATCTGTTAGTGGGAAGTAAGTTAAAAAAAAAAAAAAGGAGGCATTTCTAAGGTAGTTGGAAGGCTTCCTTTCAAGAAAGAATAGGCTAGCCATCCAGATTAGCATGCTCTTAAGTTAGAATTGTGGAGACATCAGTATCTTATTTCAGTAACTGTGTAACTCAATGCCTGCAACATTTTTTGAAGATGTAAGTTCTGTGCTTAGGAAATGTTAGCCATACACTGCCTCACGTAATTTATTCCCCCAATAGCTGAAAAACCCCTGGGAATGAAAGACCTGGTAATATATACATTTTTATTTTTCTGTGTAGATTGCCTGGCATACTACTTTCATTGTAATAGCCATCAGTAATATTTTTTGAACTATAGAAGTAAAATGAATACATTACAAACTTCTGGAAAATGCAGAAGATGGAAAACAAAATAACCCATAATTGTATTCTCCTAATTATTTTATTAATGTTAATATTTCTATATACAGTCATGTGTTGCTTAGTGACAGAGATGTATTCTGAGAAATGCATTATTAGGCAATTGCCTCGCTGGGCACACATCATAGAGTGTACTCACACAAACGGAGATAGCATAGCCAACTACACACCTAAGCTGTATGGCATAGCCTGTTGTTTCTGAGCTACAAACCTCTATATCATGTTACATATTGAGTACTGTAGGCAGTTGTAACACAATGGTAAGTATTTGTGTGTCTAAACATCTCAAAACATAGGAAAGGTAAAGTATTGTGCTATGATGTCACTAAAAGATACGAGTTTTCAGCTCCATAATGATCTTATGAAATCACCATCCTATATGCAGTCCAGCATTGCCTAAAATGTCATTGTGTGGTGCATAGTGTGACTCTATTTCTATTCTGTATTTCTAGTAATAACTTTTTTAATTGAAAGCAAGTTTATTAAGGAAGTCAAAGAATAAAGAATGACTACCGCATAGACGGAGCAGCCCCAACCACTGCTGGTTGCCAATTTTTATGGTTATTTCTTGATGATATGCTAACCCAGGATTATTCATGCCTCCTCACTTTAGACCATATAGGGTAGCTTCTTGACATTGCCATGGCATTTGTAAACTGTCATGGCGCCAGTGGGAGTGTATCAGTGAAGATGACCAGAGGTCACTCTCGTTAACATCTTGGTTTTAGTGGGATTTAGCCAGCTTCTTTACTGCAACCTGTTTTATCAGCAAGGTCCTTATTGTCTGTATCTTGTGCTGATCTCCTATCTCTTTCTGTGATTAAGAATCCTTTAACTTACTACTGGAAATGCAGCCCAGCAGGTCTTAGCCTTATTTTACCCAGCCCCTATTCAAGATGGAGTTGCTCTGGTTCAAATGCCTCTGACATTTCCCCCCTCACTTTATAAGAGAATGCTTAATCCTAAGGGTTGCAGAGGAACAAAGATCCATCTGCTGTAACCTTCAGGCTGAATGGGGCAATGATATTCCTGCTTATTAGGCTCTTGTGTTCAGGATAGAGAGGAGCTCAGTTAGAAAGTATCAGTATGTCGAGGGCCACTCAGGTATGAGTTCTGACAAAAGGTAAAATCTGAAAAATTAGTAAGTGTTAAAAAAAATTTTGGCAAGCTTATCCTGCATTTCTACACAAAGAGTACAACAATAATATATTCCACAACAGTAAAGCACAATAAGCAAGATTACCCTAAGTTAACAAAATTAGAATGGTTTCCAAGAACTGGGCAACTGTTGGAACCAAGCTGATATAGAGTTGCTAGATGATTCCAGTATGTGCCCAGGATTAGAATATTGATCCAGATTTTTACATTACCAATCCCTCCTGTTTCTTCTGAGCAGGAGCCACAGGAATAAGCAGAGTTAGTCTAAATTACAGGGAAACTCAAAAACCACTGATGAGTCTAGAATTTAATAACACGTATACCATAGTTTTTGAAACATAATTTCTCTCTCTCCAGTTTTCCATTTTTACTAAAGACAAATCATGGTAAGACTGATTTGCTTTATTATACATGGCCTGATTATCTGTATAAAGTGCAGCAAGAATAATTATTTGCCATATAGGCTTTTAAAGTTGGTTTTGATGGAACTCTTCCATAAGGACTCGCAGAGGAGACCTTTTTTTTTTTTCCCAAGTCCAGCCCACCAATGGGTTTATACCCTGAAATACCTATGAGTTAAGTAAATTTCTTTCCTCTTGAGGTCCCAAGATAACTTGGGGCTCCTGGATCTGTCAGAAAGTGACATTCCTTACTTACTACAGGTTAGGAGACTTATACAGAGATGGTGTAGACAAGGAATGAGACCAGTTTTCCCCAGCGGCTTCTATTGGCTTTAAAGTCAAGTTTGATTCCTTTCGGAAAGCATGCCATTCCAGTCAAAGCCTTGGTGAAATAACCTGTTTCTCCAGTTGTGTCCTGTTGCAAAAGAAAACAGATTCTTATTGCATTCATGCAAATAACTATATTGCCATAAGTTAAGATCCTCACAAATAGTTTCCAAATTCTGGAGAAGTCAGATAGAGAGAAACAAATATGCTCCAAATTTTGTTTATGAGTGTATACATTTCTTAATTGTTAAAAGCTGTGAATAGCTTAAAAGAAAGGTTTCCTTGACTCTGAAAAACAAAACAGAGGATCAGCAATGTTTTAAGCAAAAAGTCAAAAAAGATTATTTCAGACTTCTGTTAGTTCGGTTCATGCAGTCAACTCCTGCTTGATATACATGAACATTTCAGCTTTCCATGAGAGTCCTGAAAGTTTCTTTTTCCCTTTTCTAATGTCGCAATCTCCAAACTTACATGAAATCGGCATTCAAGGACATGTGTTAGAGTTGTATAGTTTATTATAAATCACCTTTTGGGCCTGGGTGCAGTGGCTCATTCCTGTAAAATCCCAGCACTTTGGGAGGCTGAGGCGGGTGGATCACCTGAGGTCAGGAGTTCGTGACCAGCCTGGCCAACATGATGAAACCCTGTCTCTACTAAAAACACAAAAATTAGCCAGGCATAGTTGGCATGTGCCTGTAATCCCAGCTACTTGAGAAGCTGAGGCACAAGAATCGTTTGAACCTGGGAGGCAGAGGTTGCAGTGAGCCAAGATTGCGCCACTGCACTCCAGCTTGGGCTACTGAGTGAGACTCAGTTTCAAAATAATAATAATAAATCTTTTGAAGAAGATCAAAACAAGACAGTTACTTGTCTATGGATGGCAAAAAGTTTTAGGGCAACCACAGTTAAAAATGCAATTGACAAAGAAATTTGGTTACTTCTGTGCCATACAATGATTTTATGTAACAATGATACTGATAATGTACACTAAGTCATATCAGAATTATAGGAGTTTCTTGTTATTTTGGAAAACATGCTATAACATATTTTTACAAATATAGCCCAAAGAAAGCTAAACACTATTTCACATTTGACACTGCTTCCTGTATGATTTTTATATCAAATAAGCCCAATTTCACCTTTACATTAG